TGTGTTCCCTCTCTCGCTGTGTCTCTCTGTCAAATAAATAAATAAAATCTTTAAAAAAAAAAAAAAAAGAACTTTGCAGGGTATGGAGGTTTCATGGGACTATACTGGCCACTCAGGAGATGGGGGACAGAGCAAAGAAAAAGCTTTCATTGATGGTACACACCTGAAAGGAGATGTTACTGCTTAGACACAAATGCCCACGAGGACTCTTGTTCCCTACTGAAAAAAAGTCTATCACTGTAGGTCACCAAACACTGTCAAGAGGGCACAGGTAAAAACTTAGTGTGGCTTGGGGAAGGGTAAATGGAAAAAAACAAAACAAAACAAAAACTGGATCCCTGGGGAGGGTAAGGAAGCTATCCTGTGCCCAGACTGAGACAGATCTCCTGACTTGGGGCAGGGCAAGAAAGTCTTCCAAACAAGATTCATCAAAGATGCAATGAAGAGTTTAGCTGCCACAAAGGCGAGTGGCAGAATCACAGGATCCACCCACAGTCCTTTCAGTATGAAAACCACAAAAGATTTTGAACATGAAGAACTCAAAGAATTCTTTCCATGAGTCCTTTTTGAGGACTCTACTAGAGAATAAACCTCATCCAAACAAAAAATGACTGGGAAAGCTTTAACAATTCGGCTTTAATATATACTTCTTTGAAAATCAAAATGAAAACTAAGGTGCAGCAATGGTAGAATAATGTTAGATAGCATGCTCTATATTGTGTGTTCCATGTTTCAACGAAGTAAAAATAATGCAACTAAAAGTGGGAGGAGAATAAACTCAATGAAATGAGAGAAGTAGAATAAACTCATTAAATGTAATTTAGGTGAGGGGTGACTGTGTGGCTCAGTCGGTTGAGCGTCCAACTCTTGGTTTCGGCTCAGGTCGTGATCTCATGGGTTGTGGGATGGAGCCCTGAGTTGGGCTCTGAGACCAGTGGGGAATCTGCTTGAAGATTCTCTCCCTCTGCCCCTCCCCCAACTTGTGTGCACACACACACTCTCTAATAATCTTTTAAAAAATGTAAGTTAGGTGTAAGAGAATGTCATTAAAAATGGACAATATAGATTGCGAATAAAAAAAATTAGGGACAATGGGCATTAAAAATGGTGTAACAACTAGAACAGAAATATTAACCTTCCTATGCACCAAATTTAATTTAAAAAAAAGACTGCATGGCAAATACAGTTTGAAGAGAAATAGTAAATATAATAAATACAATAATTACAGCATAAGATAATCTGATAGAACTGAAAGGAAACATATTCACCTTATCAACAAATGTGCAAGGGCTGACTCTGCCTATTAAATGGAAAGATTTTCAGCTTGGCTCATAAAGACCTAACCATATGCTCTATTCAAGAAACATACCTAAAACAGACTGATTCAGAAAGGTTAAAAAGAAAGGGATGGTCAAATGTATTCCAGGCAAATGGGTACACTAAAAAAGCAGGGACAGCAATACTGATGTTAGATCAAGTAGAAAGGAAACAATAGTAGGGAAAGGTTTTCTGACTATAATTTCAAATTCATATACAAAAATGAAATAAAAGGAAAGAGAAAAAGAAACTGAAGCATCTGACTACAATACAATAAGCGACAGAAAAACATGATAAAAAAGACAACTGACAAAGTGGGGAAACAATATTTGTAATACACAAACAGATAAAGGGCTAGTATATGTAATATATAAATAAATCTTAAAAATGATGGGAAAAAGTCAAAAACAAAAACAACTCACTGGTGGAAAAATGGGCAAGACATGAAAAAATTCACAAAAATAGATATAAAAAAGGCACTTAATTTTTAATGAGTATTGTACTATACCCATAATAAGGAAAATGCATAGTAAAACTACCTCAAGGTAACATTTCTCACTTATCCAAAGGACAGAATTAAAAATGTAGAACACCTTACTCTATTGGAGAGGTTGTGGTAAAACAGGACTCTCTCTTGTGTTGCTGGTGTTAAGCACAATCTTCATGGTGGAAAATTTGGCAGTAGTTAAAACTACAAATGCACTTACCTTCTGACTTAACGTTTCTACCCTAGGAACTTACCCCAAAGACCTAACTCCAATAATATGAAAACACATTTTCTTTGAAATATTTTTTGTAACTGCAAGATATGGAAAATAACTTGTATGCCCAGACACAGATGAGTGGCTGAATAAATTGACGGGTCTATCTAATGAGGTATTAGAAAGTTTTTTTTTGTTGTTGTTTCTTTGTTTTAAATAAGGAAAATCCTTATGGACATATGTGCAGTGATTCCAGGATATATTTTTAATAATAACCCAGGTCACTTTTTATTATTACTCTAAAAATTCAGATATAATTCACATACCATAACATTCATGCTTTTAAAGTACATAATTCAGTGGATTTTTGTATATTCACAAAGTTCTGCCACTAACACCACCATCCAATTCCAGAACACATTCATCAATCCAAAAAAGAAAGCCATCCATACCCATTAGTCACTCAGTGTCGCTCCCTCCCCTAGACCTTAGCAATCACTAATTTACTAATTGGTCTCTATGGATTTACCTATTGTGGGTATTTCATGTAAGTGGAACCATACTTTGTGTTTGGCTTCTTTCTTAACCTAATGCTTTCAAAGTTCATTCATGTCATAGTACATATCAGTACTTCATGCCTTTTTAGGGCTGAATAATATTCCCTTGTATGTATATACCATTTTTGCTTATCCAGTCACCAACTGATGGATATTTGGCTTGTTTCTTCTTTTCGGCTATTTTGCATATGCTACTATGAACATTCATGATCAAGTTTCTGTTGGAACGTTTTCAATTCTTTTAAGGTCTATAGCTACTAGTGAAAGTGCAGTTCATATGGGACTCTCACTATGCCTATGTTGGGACACTTGATGGTATCCCATGAGTCTTTGAGGATCTCTGTTGATTATCATTCATGTTTTTTTTTTTTTCCTCCTGTTCCTAAAACTGGATAATCTCAATTGATCTATCTTTAGTTTCACCAAGTCTTTCTTCTACCTGCTCCAATCTGCTGTTGACCACTTATGTTTAATTTTTCCTATCAGTTATGGTACTTTTAAATTCCTAAATTTATTTTTGTCTCTTCTTTATAATTTCTATTTCATTATTGATATTCTCTATATGGTGAGGCATTGTTATCAGACTTTCTTTTAGTTCTTTAAACATTGTTTCCACTAGTTCTTTGCACATATTCTCAAAATAGCTTATTTAATGTCTTTGTTGAGTAAATCCAAAGTCTGGACCTCTTTGGGGACAGTTTGTTTTTCTTCTTCCCTGTATATGGGGTATACTTTGTTTCTGCATATGTCTTAGGGTGTTTTATTTTAAACTGGTCATTTTAAGTAATATATTACAATGGTGAAAATCTAAAAATCAGATACTCTCCCCTCCCTAGGGCTTGTTATTGTTTTTTGTTGTTATTTAGTGGACTTCTTTGAACTTGTGAAGTCTATATTCTTTGTTGAGTGTGGCCATTAAAGTTTCTGCTTCATTAGTTTAGTGGTATACTACTAACTAGACAGATTTCCTTAAATGCTTGGAATACTACTGTGATTTTGCTGAGAGACTGTGTGTGTGTGTGTTTGTGTGTGTGCTGGGGCACACCTTCAACACAGCCAGGAAGTTGACAATTCCACCTGAGCCTTCATTTTCTGCCGCAGAACCTCAAGGTCAGCTAGAAGTGACAGTTCAGGGCCTTCTCAGCTCTTCCCTGAACATACACACAGCACTACGCAAGCACATGACTTGCTTAATTCCAAGAAATATGTCAGAACTCGTCAAAGTCCCTAGAGATACTGAATTCTCCAGATTTCCTTTTAAGCTTTTTGACAAATTTGTTTGCAACTGTTACTCATTGCCTCAAGCAACTGTGATGTTAAACAATTACCTCTGATTGTTTTTGAAAATATCAGGAAAAAGGCTTTCGCACTGAGCAAGTTCTCAGTCAAGTGGGGTCTTCCAGTGAACTACCGTATTTGTCAAATAATGACAATTCTCAGTGAATATATCGTTGAAGAAGCTCCAACCCTGTTCTGTTTCTCCTAGTGGCTGCCAGGCTGCTGGTTTTCACTGTGATTGTTGGCTGTTGGTTTTCAAAACTATCATGGATCTGAGGAGTGAAAGATGAAAATAGGGAAAGTTAAAATGTCACAAAGATTACTGTTCTATCAAGACTCATCCATTTTTCTTGAAAAATACTCCCTGGATTGTAGTAAACCTGTGGTTAATGCCATAGTTCTAAAAAAGTTCATTCTGATAACACAGACAGTGTTCTCAGTGGTTTTTATGGGGAAAATAATTTCTGTACAACTTTACTCCATCATTTTTGATGACATCATCCCAGGCAACTTTCAAACTTAGTTTTGAGAACATATGTCTTCAAGCAAAAGAAAAAAGAACTCTAAACTTATACTGAACTTCAGCTAGTAGACTTTTATTTTGCGGAGGCATCAGTTAGCAACTCTAAAACTGTATTCTAGGGTTTTGTGGATAATGGGAACCATCTTTCTTACTGTTAGATGGGAAAAGAACACAAGACACAGACTGAGTAGGCTCCCACTGGCCAAATTAAGGACAATTTGAACATGAAAATAAATAATGGATTTCTACTTCTGTAGTAACAGGAATCCGATGTGCCATTCTACATTAAAGAACTAGAACAATGGAAAAAATAAAATACATGACTTAGGTTTCAGACAATGGACAAAAAGCAGTACAGCATAGTAATACCTGAGAGTGAAAACAAACCAGTTGAGTGCTTTAGCTCATTGCATGAAGTTTCCAAACTATACCACACAGGGGGAAGGAATTCCAGATAACTCAGTGGCCTCCCTGAAGAGACAGAATTCAGGGTTTGCATAGGCTACTGTGACTAGAATTTGTGACGCAAAATACAAAAGAGGATGAGATGAACAGAAAGAAGTGCTCTGGAGATCTTTGGAAGGATCCCCTAAAACCTACGGCATAAGACTAATCTGTGCAATGCGGAATCTACCAAGGCCAGGGAAAAAATTCACTAGAAAGGAGTTTGTGAAGCAACTTACACTTGGCCAGGTATAGTTTTTGTTCTCATCTCACCAGATGTAACAGAAAGATTTGCTAGTAGAAAAAGCATTAGGCAGAGTGCTTAGAATGGTAATGCCTCTGGAGCCAAATGAGCCCTAGGCCAGGCTTTCTCAATCTCAGCACTGTTGACACTTTGCACTTGATAATTCTTTGTTGTATATAATGTAGAATGTTTAGTAGCATCCCTGGCCTATATCCATTAGATGTGACACAAAAATGTCTGCAGACGTTGCCGAATGTTCCCTAAAGGTAAAACTGCCCCAAATGGAGAACCATTGCAGACAAGATCATTAAAATAGCTACTAATATTCCGTATGTTCAAGGAAGTAGAGGAAAAACCTGAACATGATAAGAAGACATATGTAATATTACAACAAAAACAACAGCAAAGAGAGACGGGGGAAAAAAGAAGAGGAGGAGGAAGAGGAGGGGAGGGGTAGAAGGATGAGAGTGAAGGATAAAGCAAGTGCAATAAAGTGTTATCGATTGGAGAACCTGGGTGAAGGATACTGTGTGGTATAGAACTTGGCTTTGCCCAAGAGAATTGCCCTTGCCTTTGGTTTCTTGGAGACATCTATGTAATACCTGATAAAAGTATGTTTGTTTAGGGCAGCAGTTAGCTACACTAAAAAAGACAAACCATGTAACTGAGGATGGGGAATTTGGGGTCATGTGGTATTAGTCATCTGGAACAATCATTTGGGCAATCAACTGCTTATGTTTATATACTGCAGACACAACAAAAAATCTACACACCAAAGCTTCAGTGAGCTTCTGAGATTGGCAATACTCTATGCACATTGATGCCAGGATGGTAATGCGTCCTGAGGACAACAGACGCTTTGTGTTAGAACCCTCACAGACGGGCGCCTGGGTGGCTCAGTTGGTTAAGCGACTGCCTTCGGCTCAGGTCATGATCCTGGAGTCCCAGGATCGAGTCCCGCATCGGGCTCCCTGCTCGGCAGGGAGCCTGCTTCTCCCTCTGACCCTCCCCCCTCTCATGTGCTCTCTCTCTCATTCTCTCTGTCTCAAATAAATAAATAAAATCTTAAAAAAAAAAAAAAAAGAACCCTCATAGACATGGTCCTATGCATCTCTTCCTTTGACAGGTTTTAATTTGTATCCTTGCCCTGTAATAAACAATGACTTTCAGTAGGTTTCATGTGTGTATATAAACAGGTTTCAGTAAGTTCTGGGAGTTTTTCTAGCAAATTTTTGAACCTGAGGGTGTTTGGGGAACCCACCCCCAACCAACGCCATCTCCAAACCTGCAGCTGGTGTCAGAAGTGACAGTGGTCCTGTGGGGGCTCTTCCCTCTAACTCTGTAGCTGGACCCTAACTCCTTGTGGTAGTGTAAGAAGTCTTGGCCAGACTTGGTAGTCTGGAGGACACTGCTCTCAACCTCGCAGTTTGGCTAAATCTGGGGAGCCATGGAGACATTTTTCTTTCACTTTTCCTGTAATAATTTTTCATAATTAAAATTTCATTGAAATTAATTTTAATTTTGCATAATTGACATTATGTCAAAATAAAAATTTAAAAGACCAAAGTAGAAAAAACAAATTTTGCTTTCAACATAGCAAAAACAATTTTTTCTGTATAATCTCTTGAATTCCATTGCTTTAGTTATCTAAATTCTTAAGCTCTTGAAAATGAAAGAAATGACTCTCCAAAGCTTATGAATTCCTGCAAACCAGGGGGCTTTCCTTGCCATTAACAGTAAGATGGAATTTAGTTATCTTTATTTAGTTAACTAAGAACCTTTAATTTCTTCCAGAGAAGTGGAAAGTGAAACATTTGAAAGGATTTTTAAAATCCCGTTTTCCTTTGAAATTAACAGTACTCCATAAAGAGTAGTTCCTTCGAGTCATCTCATCACTGCACTCAGTTATCTGGAAATGCTTCTTCAATCACACCTCCTTCAGAGTTTATCCTTTTGAATTCTAATCCACAATTCCACAAAAAAATGTTTCTATAAAAGTGCATGGTCAAGTAACTACATGTTATACATTCTTGATTTAAACAAATATTTCTATGCGGTGAGATATATAACAAATTATTGGTTGTGGTGCTACATTTAAACATGTATGTTGCCTAAAAAACTGAGGTATAATTCAGAAATGAAAAACTGCCCTTGAATCTATTTTAAAACAGACAAAAAGTAGATCACAAATAATTACAAATATAATAAAAATTAATATTTATTTGTTAATGTATTATCTCTATACCCATATAAAAGTTACTATCTTAGTTTTGCTAAGAATTACTTTTAGCAAAGGTGATCTCTTTTAAATAACTATAATTTCCTAATATTTTCCATTATTATTTTAATGTATCTCTCAAAATTTATTTTCAAAGCAAGACACAGAGTTAAACCTGGTGATAAGCACAAATTAGAAGTCTGAGACAGCTATTTCAAAATTTTTTCACAGAGGGAACAGCGTGGGTATATTATTAAAAATCAATTTAAGTATGTACTTGATTTGTGGTAGGCTTATGTAAACATAACTTTAATAATGGGCTGGGTCACAAAAAGAGGTACTATACTAATCAATCATCAAATGTAATTTTTTTTCCCTGAAACACAGCAATTTTAGATTGCTGCTCTTTTCGCCTCTTGCTTGCTTCCCACGAAGGATGAAGAGGCAGCTGTGATTGCTGTTTTGTACTTTGAAGTCCTCTTTGTGCACTCTTATTAAACAGATTCTTAAGCTGAGGTTCATTTTGCTGAAAACCTGGGAGGAGAAAGCAAAAATAGTGAGAAATAACCACATACTTACATAGCATGTAAAAGAAAGAGATTTCATTTTCTCACATCAGTATTTAAGGAAGGAATTTAGTTTTACTTAAACAAACATTACAGTTTAAAATCTAAGTCCAACAGGGAACAGTGTGAAATTGAAATATACACATCAACAGGCAATTCTGGGACACATGCTTTCTAATCTTTTATTTTTTTTTCTAATCTTTTAAACAGATGCAAATTGTTTGTCTCCTAACATATGTTGTACTGTCTTATTTACATTGGCAGTAAGAAAGGAAAGAATGCAGACAATATGGAAGGCCAAAAAAATCCCAAAAGAGCATCTTATATTTTCAAAGGAATATCATTGGTTTAAGGTAACTGTATATGGAGCCGATGTAGCCAGAAAATTCACATGTATTTATTAAGATATTGGATTTGACAACGTTGATGGGAGAGATGTATTTTTAAAGGATTACTAATTGATTCTACTCCCTTCTATTACTGAACATAAAATTATTATAAAATAAATTACTGAATTTACTCAAATATAAGACAAGGTTCTTTTCCAATCATAAAATTATCCACCAGATAAGAGGGTGGCAAATTGTTTCTAGACCTTACGGCCTCTTATATTATAAGATACTTTAAACTATGTTATTTTGAACAATAAAGTAGTGTTTGGGAGAGACACACCAGCCAGAAGACACATGAATCAATGCATGTTTATGGAATCAGGGGAAAAACAAAGGGAGACAAAAATTTAACATAGATTTTTTTTTTTGAAGTAGTCCTAGAGATGTGTACCTTCTCCACTATGAGTTAGACATCATTCACTGTCAAAAGCCTTTTAAAGATCTTCTTAAAAAGCAAATGTCATAATGTTACACAAACAAATGCACACAGTTTGGGATAACATTTCCAAAATACTACCGTACAAAGAATGCAACATGTCCTGAATCTTGTACAAATCACATGTGGTCTAAAACCCAATATAATATTCAGGATGGCTCTAGCATGGAGATTCAGCCCTGGAGCAGAGTTACGAGTCAAGAATGTTCTTCTCAACCAAACCTGAGAATCTTAACACAGCAGACACTGAATGATGGTGGGGGTGGGAAAAAATACCCTCAAACATAAAGAAGGCAAGTTTGAGAACTAGCTCTAGGGGAAGATTGTTGGTATGGTGACTAGCTCATGGATGGACTAAATGGAAACCCAGAAGTCAGAAATCCACTACATTTCTGAGAGACCTGTGTTGTGGAAGAAATCCTATGTCTGGGCTGAAAAACTCTCTCTTGAATATTAAAGACTTTGAACTGTCTTCAGGACCATGTGTTTTTACCAGTCACTTGGGGCAACTCCCAAGGAAATTATACTAAATGTCCACTTCAGATGTGGCCATGGAACACAGACCTCCCCAGAACAGTCAGAAAACATGAAGAACAATGGATAAAGAAGTTCCTCTAGATAAACATGTTATGTGCCTCCCAATTTTCCCTTAACTGACTGGGAGTTTGTATTATGGTTACCTTGTCCCTGACCTGCCACTAAATATTTGGTATGAGCTGGGGACAGGTAGTCTGTCTTTCAGTGACCAGGCCATCAAATTTTGAGCAGTCACATCCATGAGACCGGATGGAAACAAAGGACTGCATCACTGGTGGATGATGCTGGGCTTTGAGCTTGGATGCAGGGACTGGGTGGGACTCTGAGCTGGCTTCTTTGGGAAGGAGATAAAGTGTGCTCTGTGTGGGGGAGGGACAGTGAAATGAGCACCTGGTGAGAGAAAGGATAGTCACTGGCAGACAGTCACATGTTTAAGAAATTCTACTTCCTTTTTCCTCTTAACCACACAGTTAGATTGCATTTCTTAGCTCCCCTGTGGCTAGATGGTGTCATATAATTGAATTCTGGCTAATGAAATGTGAGCAGAACTGATTCCTGCCACTTTCAGACCTGGCTCATGAAAACTTCCTGCAAAACCGTCCATGTACTCTTCCCTTCTGGAGGAGTATCTGGAAACTGCAGGACGAAGGAACCAAAAGATGAAAGGTGCCTGATTCCTGAATTACTATATGAAACACAGCCCCTCTGCCACCTCACAGTGGACTGTAATGTGCATGAAAAATGTATTTTTATTATTTTAAGCCAGTGAGAGTTTGGAATTATGTACAGAAGTCAGCCTACCCAAATATATGTAACTTGATTTGTTATGAATTAATGTGAAAATACTTTGATTTTACTCTGAACCTAGAAAGTGACATACTAGTTACTGAATGTTTAATGGCATGATGCCGACTAAGATATAACTTAAAGTTATATCTTAAAAAGTTATATCTTAAAATTTAAAGAATGTACTAGTTTATTCAGTTCAAGATAAATCAACTAGACCCAGTATTTCCTGGTAAGTTTTGCTTATATCTTTCATACTGGTAGCAGATAGGTAAAAACAAACAAACAAACAATTAAAATTTTAAAATTATACTGATAATTGAAAGATCTTCTTGTCCCCTTCCTGTGGGTACGTAGGTATTTCATTCAGGCTATTAAGTAACCAGAACTTTTCATTCTTCTACTCTGGCAGAGCATTAGTCAATTTCATGTCAAGGTCAGGCAGCCATTAATACATACCTGGGGTTCTGCTTTTTGGAGCCTGTTCTCTGAAATTTCTAAAAGAAGAAAAAGACCATTAGGACTTAAAAAAGATAACTGACCTTAAGAAGATAACATAAAAAAAAAAAACAGGGATAAAACTCACTCAAAGGACTATTGTACTCCCTCATCCCACCAGCAATCAATAAAAAAATGATAAAACCCCTAGTTTTATCTGTATCAAAGTCTGTGAGACTCCAGTGATACTGCAGAAACATGGGAGTTTCCCTCTTACCCCCCCTACAGGGACTTCTGGTCATAAAATATTCTATCTTGGTTACTTGTGTCTACTCTTGAGGACTATCCAGATAAAGAATTTCAAAAGTCTTCTTAAAGGGGGAATGAGTCACATATTACAGAAAATCATTTTGTGGGAGATGGAAAGCATAAGAGTGTATTATTCTCAAGTGAGGAAAAAAAATGGAGCCTTCTGGAGCAAGTTTGGGAGATATAAAAAATATTTTAATTAATTTCAAGGTCTCAAATATGGTTTGTGTCTTTTCCATA